ATTGTCAACTCAATCTTTAATCAAGTACTGGCATGTGGGGGCAACTCCCAGAGATGCACATAGATATGGTTTCACAGTGGAAACTCATAGACTTAAGGGCCTCAGCAGACGCTGCAAAGTGCCATTTTCGAGGCCAAGAAGGGGAGGGGCAGCCTCACTCTGGGTGCCCCAAGCCCTTCCTGAAAACGTCATTGGAGCGGCTGGCCCTCCGCATGGCCAGCGCTCTGACGACGCACTTCCGCTGCAGCGTCCGCACACGCTGCAGCGGAAGAGGTGCCGAAGGTGTGCCGGAAGCCTTTTGCGGCACACCTTTGGCATCTTGCGGAAGGAGTGCTATTTTAGCAGTCCTTCCTGGGCTTGGGATGCTGCGCCTTGGGGCCAAGGAGCATGGATACCTCAGCCCCAATCCGCAGCTTCCCGGGGCGGCCCCGTGCTGCCCATCTGCTTTCCCCCTAAAGTCTATTTCCTCAGATGCATTTGAGGAAATAGACTTAAGTCTACAAAAGCTCATGCTACCAACTTCTTTCTTTCAATTAGGGGCTGCACAGCCCCTCAGGGGCAGCATCCCACTGCCCCTTTCCATGTTGGATTGGGGTGATGGCAACCATATGCCAATCTGGCACTTTGCTGCTCTAAAAAGAGCTGGCAAATGCTGCTCCTTTTTAGAGCAGCAAAAAGCTGCCTTTGCTGCTGTAGCAGCAGCTTTTCCGTGCTCCTTTGGCACAGCGTGTATGAATGCTGCACCAAAGGAGTGCCCTGATGCCTCCCGCCATCTGATTGTGTGGCTGGCATGACGGCGGCATCAGGCTGGAGTCGGGGCAGACGGCATACAGTCACCACAGCCTGGCTCTACTCTCCAGGCTGTTCCTTTTGGCTGGTCTGTATAGCCCCTTAGTCTCAAAAGTGCTACAAGATGTCTCTACATACTGATTTTACAGACCTAACACAGATATATCTTGTAATGCTTCACAGAAGTAAGCCATATTAACATCTGATATGGTATGTCTTATACACCTCAGAAAGCCCAACAAATGAATGCAAGACTTTACCATAGAAAAACAATATTAGTAGAGTAACATAATATTTGCTCATCTGTCCCAATGCAATATTCCTTGGCTCATCAGCAATCATCTGCAAAAATGGTGGAAAAGACTGTTCCTTTTCCCCACCCCACCCTGGCCGTCTGCCACTCTGCAGAATTAATGCAGTTTGACATCACTTCAATTATCATGGTTCCATCCTATGGAATCCTGAGATTTGTTGTTTATTTTGGAAGCAGAACTCTCTGACAGAAGAGGCTAAATATTTCACAAAACTACAAATCCCAGAATTCCATAGCATTAGACCATGGGAGTTAATGTGGTTTCAAACTGCATTAATTCTGCAGTGTTGTGGTAGATTCTGTCTCCCACTGCTTCACTCTCTTGCATACACAGACACCCACACAGTGGTAGTATGGTAAATGACAACATTCTAGCACGAAGTCAACTTATTCTCACATCAGTTTTACATCATTTTGGTACAAAACAGATCCCACAGAAATACGGCAGAGGCAAATATGACTGCCAATTATGTTTGTCCATGATATCATAATAAGAACAGTTCACTTACTAAAAATGAACATCTAATAGCTACCATCCCATATTTTATCTACCCAAGTATCAAAAGATCAAGTACAGCACACCTGCATCATACACAGGCTTGCCATGCATGGACTCAAGGTCATGTGGATGGCGAGCCTCAACCCTCTTAATGGCGCATATGGGCAGCATGACACGCAGAAGCACACCACTATTGAAATCAACGAGGCTTGAGGTACCGCTATATTTCCCTTATGTGGGGGGGGGGGCAGAATGGATCCCCCACGTAAAACAAAGGTCCACTGTACTAACTCTAAGTCATGAATCTGTAGGGAGTTCACTTTGACCTTTTAGGTGGTTAAAGTCATTAACTGATGACTTATTACAGCAGCTGAGGCATTCAGGAATCAGCCAGAATTGTACAGCCTGCCACATCTTAATGCTTAATTAGTTTTTGGCATGCACACATTGAGAAACAATCCCCCCCCATGCACCTCAAACAAATTAGAGGGGAAGGAAATGATGGCAATCTATTATGCAGTCTATTTCTCCACATCTATACTGAGAATAATTTTATGCTTTATATGTTATTATCAGTACAGTTCCCAGCTGCTTAGTGAAAACCATGAAAAAAGCCATTATTTCTTCAATTTCAAATGGGCATTTTTATGAGAGAGAGAAAATACTATTGCCAGTCTCCCCAAGAAATGCTGGGACTTGCTTTATGTCTGCATGCTTCTCTGATAAAACTTCCAGTTGGCTAAATGAGAGCAGCTGTGGGCTCTTTCTCTCTCTCTGTCTCTCTCACACACACACACACACACACTTGAAAATAATGATTAGGCAGTTAAGCCATGTCACTTGGGTGTAGAATTCAAGAACAAAAGTGACAGAAAGTAGTCAACATTGAGAAAAAATATTTTGTTTCTTCATTTAAACATACTCCAGCATGGCCAGGGACCATTGTGGCTATTGAGTTTGGGAACTGGAATCCCAAACAGCAACTTTTCTAACTTCTGAACAAATCATAGAATGGAATCATTTTTGTTATTTTATTCCTCCCTTCTAGGACTTCTAACCCCAAATATCTTTTTATTATGAGGAATGAGCAACTGGGCAGGGCCCACTCTACCATTGGGCAGAATGAAGCAGCCATCTCAAATAGCAACTTTGGGGTGTCATGGAAGAACAGCAAATTTTGGATTATCCATAGCTGGTGATGGTTGAATTGCTTGTGAGATGTCTTGTCTCTGTTTGCATGACCCAAGGTTTATGAACATGTCGTCTTCTAGATGTTGTTGGACTGTGATTCAATCAGCCTAGCCAAAATAAGCAATATTGAGAACTGTTTTCCAACAGCATCTAGAGTTCTACATTTTTCCTTCCTCAGCATGGCCCATCTCTTCTATGATAAAGAAAACCCAGCCTATTGAGAGAAGTTTACCTTCAAAATCCTAGTGTCAGCAGGATTATCTTCTATTACATGATAAACTTTGCTCCATCTGTTCTTGAATGGATCTGAACTATCTGGACAGTACACCCTTTAAGTACACAGCCATCCTACTCCATACTTTGCTCAACTGTCATTTTTCTCTCCTTTTTACTTTTAAACCTCTACACCTAGTGCAATAATAAGAATCTGTTGACTCCCAACTGTTGCACATTAGCAGCAACAAAAAGGCTCTTCTTCCTCCAAATTAGACTACGCAAATGAAAAATTTTTTGGGGGGGAGGATAGATTTTTGTCTGGAAAGACTGCAAACAGTCAAATAAAATATCAGATAATCCATAATGCTCCATGAGTGGCTTTTTAATAATCTGGTTTGGCATTCTGAACTAGAAGCTAAGAGATTCTGTAAGCGTAAGCCTATCAAAGTTTTGCCTTTCTGCAATTGCTTTTCCTCTTCTACTAGGCCATGGAGGAAATAGATGTCCAATTATTGCAGATTCCCAATCTGTGCTCTCTATGGGCCCTGTATACCTGGGATAGTAATAGGACATCCTTTGAACAGAGAAAATAAAAGGTATTCATAAAAAGACAGTATTAGGATCATATTGAAATGTCAACAGACTTTGAAATGTACAGGGTAATTACTATGCTTGCTGGCTTCTATGATATTATCTAGGTCATGTTCTTTTACTAGTTCACTCCAACACATTTTGTTTTATGGCTGGTCTTTGCACATTGTTAGGAAAGCTTGATTCAAGCTATAAACCATCTTCTCAAATAGCTGTGGGAATAAGCTGCATTCTAGACATCCTATAATAAATAGAGAAAATTTTAATAAGATCCAGCCCATCTACATTTTTTAAAAATTGTGTGATTTAACCTTGCAATCCTCAGTAAACACACAAGGCCCTGTTCGATACATTGTCTTGTGTTTATGTTTCACAATGGAAAACATACATGTCACTTTCTGACGGGGACTGAGTGACTAGTTATAGTATATTAATGACTTTAATAAGTTTTAAAACAATCCCACGTTTTACTTGCCGGGCCCTTTGTTCATTGTTAGCTTGCTAATAAAATACAGTCTTTCAGTTGCACTTTTAAATCAATTTGTTTTTTCAAGATGTGAAAAGCCTTTAAGGCTTGAAGCAGAGTTACTCATGGAAATAAAATATGTATGGCCCTTTGTTCATAAAGAGTTCAGCAGAAAACAGCATATTACCTAAGCAAAATTAAAGCCCAGATGGCCAGTGATTATTATTTTAAGCAAATCTAAGTTCTCTCCATAGTGGTTTTGAATGAATATTTTTAAACATTTTTAGGTATCATGTGACAAAACATGGGTGATTCACACCCCCATCCCCTCCCCATGTGAAAATATCTTCAGAAATGTTTGTGATGCCTACTGTCTACTCCTGCTTTCAACAGCATCTTTGCCTGCTTGTCTCCAGCTTTGTGTTCTTCACACAAGGCCTTCTCATTTTTCTACTGTCATTCTACTATTTCAAAGTACTTGGAACTGGCATGCATAGCAATGCTACAATCTAAAAAACCTTATGAATATTGCCTGAAGTATTCTTCATAAATCAAAATGTAACAAAATAGCTTGGTTTGGCCTCTCCTAGCTGAGTTCTTTTTCTACTAGTTAGCTAAATAAACTATTGTAACAATTGGTGAGTGGATGTAAGAGGGGGAAAGAAAGAATATTTTTATTCATTTGAAAGCAATTGAGGAACATCTCCTCAAATACTTTCAAGAAGACCATTCATTCTGGGTAAGAAGACAACTGCAGTTATTTTATATATTGTTGTTGTAATTGTTGTGTGCTTTCAAGTCATTTCTGAATTACAGCAACTCTTAAAGTGAACCTATCATAGGGTTTTGTTGGCAAGATTTATCTTTGGTTTATCTTTGCTTTCCACTGATGCTAAGAAAGTGTGACTTTCCCAAAGTCTCCCAGTGGGTTTCCATGGCTGAGCAGGGATTCAAACCATGGTCCTCAGAGTAATAGTCCAATATTCAAACCACTATACCATACTGGCCCAAGGTGAAAACAACCCTATTAGTATTCTGGCCTATAACCAATTGCTGTTTCAAACTACCATTCAGTTGCTGAATAGTATGTCAATACTTATATAAATGCCATTGACTCAATGTCTCTACTCTAGCTACGACTAGCAATTGAATTCAAACTTCTTACATTTAATAGTAGTATGTGAACCTTTGGACATCTCTTTGTATGATTGTGGGACTTTTAAAAGGTTAGCAAAGGCAAAAAATATGATAGTAAATTACAATTCTAGATCTAGGTTCTAAATTTGACATGGTAATTCCTGGGAAATTCTAAAGCTTGCAAAGGCTGGCAAGCTCTTTGTAGTTCAACAGAGAGTTACAAATATGTTAAGAAAGCTCTTAGAGCTTTCCCTCCCTTGTTTTATTTTGGTTTTTTGCTTGTTTATTCTTTGAGAGTGTAAAATTAACTTGCCATGTTGATTGCATCAGATTGGCTTGGCATTTCATTTTTTATTAATCCAAGTTTTTGACATCAATTAGTGCCCATACAGCACTAAATAAATATTTCCAAAGAGGATTTTTAAAATATAGCAAACTGGCAGACAAACCCAAAGACATTTCCAAGTCTTAGGGAAACAACATTGTTCTGCTTCAGAAAATGTCTGATCAAGATCCGAAAAGCCGCTGAACCCAACTTGCATCAGCAAAGGCTTTTATTATAGGTCAGTTGTGGTTATGGAGAATGTATGTCCTTCCAGATGTTGAATTGCAGCTCCTTTCAGCTGTAGCCAACATAACTAGTGGTAAGGGATTAGAAGAGTTACAAAGCAACATCTGGAGACCCATTCTTGTTACAGGCCTTTCTAGATGTGCCTGTAATGTATGTTTTCATTTTTCTTTAATCCATAGTGAAACAGAGACAAAAACAGGGGGGATGTCTTCCCAAATGCCTCAGTATTCAGTGCAATATTGTTATTAGTGATGAACACAAAAGAGGCAGTGTGGTTTAGCTGCTTGAGGGTTAGAATAGGACTGTGGGAGACGCCACAGCCATGGAAACTCATTGGATGACCTTGGGCATGTGACAGTCAGTTAGCCTTAGAGGAAGGCACGTTAGGGTTCCAGAGGGCCAGGATTCAAATCTCCACTCAGCCATGGAAACTCACTGGATGACCTTGGGTAAATCACATTTTCGCAGCATTAGAAGAAGGCAAGGATTTTGAAGTTAACATTCTCTTAAGGCCTAAGCAGACTGCCAGAAATAGTGCACATTAAATTGAGGCACTGCCCTGGCTCAGTACTATGGAATCATGAGAATTGTATTTTTTTCTGAGACATTGAGCCTTCTCTGTCAGAGACCTCTGGTGCCACAATAAATTACAGTTCCCATGATTCCCTAGCACTGAGCCAGGGCAGTGCCTCAATTTAATGTGCACTATTTCTGGCAGTCTGCTTAGGCCCTGAATGTGCTGGGTTAACTTTATCATGAAAGAGATGGGCCATGCTGAGGAAAGAGAATATGTGGAACTCTAGATGCTGTTGGAAAGCAGTTCTCAGCATTGTGGTATGAAG